CGGGAGCGAGCCCTGCGTTCCCGCAGGAGAGGCGGCTGGGTGCCTGAGCGAGACATGGAGTGATCTCCGTGTTTACACAGCATCCGTATCTGTGCTTAAATGGCAGTGCGCGCTCCCGGCGTCGTAATAGCGCGTGATGTCCAATTCTAAATAAATGATCTCTGCGTTTAAATCTGGAAGTTGTAGATAAAAGCGTTGCAATAAGTGATACTGGCATAAGTGATTAAAGGATGGATCCCAGTGTTTAAAGCATTGAGTGAGCGATCTCTGTGTTTAAATTAGGAAGTGACAGGCATCCGTGTGGAATCGTAGCAGTGCGTGATGTCCGCTTTTAAATGAGTGATCTCTGCATGTAAATTAGCAAGTTATTGATCGAGGTGTTTAAATAAGGGATTGAAATAAGTGTTTAAAGGATGGATCCCAGGGTTTAAAGCACTGAGTGAGCGATCTCTGTGTTTAAATTAGGGGGTGAGTGACAGCTGTGTTTAAATAAGTCAGGAGTGATCTCAGAATCATAACAGTGCATGATCTCCACTTTTAGATAAGTTTTCTCCTCATGTAAATAAGCAAGTTATTGATAGAGGTATGTAAATTAGGGATTGAAATAAGTGTTTGAAAGATGGATCTCAGTGTTTAAAGCATTGAGTGAGTGATCTCTGCATTTAAATTAGGAAGTGATTGTTAACGATGTTTAAATATACCAGAGAGCGGTCCCTGCATTTTAACGAGTGATGAATCCCTGCGTTTAAATGAGCGAGCGATCCCTGGCATTTTGTAACGAGGGAGTGATCTTCGTGTCGAAATTAGGAAGCGACAGATAGAAGTGTTTCAACAAGTGATCCATCCCTGTGTTTAAACGAGGGAACGATCCCTGCTGTTTAATGAGGAGTGATGCGTCCCCTGGTTCCATATTGGGAGCGTCGCCGTGTTCCAGTCAGAGAGGGAGCGTTCCCTGCAGTTAGATAGCTGAGGAATCTGCGTATGAGCAGTGAGGGAGGGATTCGTGTGTGCACACGGGAGAGCCATGTGTGCACCTGAACGAGTGAGCGGCCTCCGCGTTTACATGAGGAAGGGACCAATACCCGTGCCCCGATGTCAGCGCGTGCTCCCGGAATTGGAATAGTGGAGTGAGTGACCTCTGTGTGCAAGTCAGCAAGGTATCGATAGAGGTGGTGTAATTCGTGATTGCTAGAAGCCTCTAAACGATGGATCCCAGGATTTAAAGCACTGAGTGATCTCTGTGTTTAAGTGATCCATATCTGTGTTTAAATAATTGAGCTGTCTGCATTTTAATAAGAAGTGACTCCTGTATTTTACTAATAAGTAAGTGATGGATCCCAGTGTTTAAGTAAGGCAATGAGTGATTTCTATGTTTAAATATTTGAGGGATCTCTGCATTGTAGTGAGTGAGGGAGTTAGTTATCTCTGTGTTTAGATTAGGAAGAGTCTAAAGAAGTGATCGATCCCTGTGTACAAATGCGCAATGGAACCCCGTGTTTAAAGAATTGAGTGAAGTAATTACCTCTGTGTTTGAATTATTAAGCAATTGGTATTTGTGTTCAAATAAGCAAGGGAGCGGTACCTGCACTTTGATAACTAGCGAGTGGTGGATCCCTGCATTTAAATAAAGGAGCGAGCGGTTTCTGTGGTTATGTGCTGGAGGGATCGCTGTATTTAATAATAATAAGGGAGCGATCCCTGCGGGAACAATCCCTGCATTTACAAGAGTGACTTAACCTCATGCTTAACATAGGAAGGAGCGATACCCGTGTTTGTTTAGGTAACTACATGAGCTGTCCCTGTGTTTTAATGAGTGAGCTAGTGATGGATTCCTGCATTTAAAAGAGCGAGCAAGCGATTTCTGCGTTAAATTGGGCACCTCTGCATTTTAATAATAAGGGATGATCCCTGTGTTTATAAGAGGAGAACTATCTATGCATTTAGATAAGTAAGTGAGTAATCTACATGTTGAGATAAAAGTGATTGATCTCTGTATTTAAATTAGGAAGTGAGTGATATTGCATGAGCTGTCCCTGTGTTTTAATGAGCGAGCGAGCGAGTGAGCGATGGATTCCTGCATTTAAATGAGCGAGCAAGTGATTTCTGCGTTAAATCGGGCATCTCTGCATTTTAATAATAAGGGATGATCCCTGTGTTTATAAGAGGAGAACTATCTATGCATTTAGATAAGTAAGTGAGTAATCTACATGTTGAGATAAAAGTGATTGATCTCTGTATTTAAATTAGGAAGTGAGTGATATTTGCTTTTAAAGGTGAGCGATCTCCACTTTAAAATGGGATCCCCATGTTTAAGATCCCGGCATTTAATAAATGAGGGATGCATTGATTCACGTCTTCCTGCATTTTAGTAGTAAGCGGGCGATTTCTGCACTTACATAATTGAGAAAGCTCTGTATTTTAGTAACAAGGTAGCCATTCCTATGTTTTAGAACTGTCGATGCATTTTAATGAGTGAGCGCTCTCCAAGTTTACATTAAGTAAGTGACAGATGAGAGTGCGATTTCTGTTTTAAGTCATTGAGCGATCTCTGCATTTAAATACTAAAAGTGACTGATCCCTGTATTTTAATAAGTCTGTGTTTAAATTAGAAAGTCATTGATATAAGCATTTAAATGAGCGCGTGATCTCCAGGTTTAAATAAGAAGTAATGGATTCCTGCGTATAAACAGTAAGAAGTGGTAGAGCTGTACCTGCATCTAATGAAGTGATAGAGCTGTACCTGCATCTAATAACGAGCGAGCGATGGAGCCCTGCAGCTTCATAATAAGGGATGATCCCTGTATTTATGTAAGTAAACAATCTGTACATTTAAATGAGTGATTTATGTCTGTGTTTAAATTAGGAAGCAGATGATCTCTGCATTTTAATAAGCAAGCAAGTAAGTAAGTGCTGTATCTCTTGATTTAAATAAGAAGTGAGTGATGGAATCCTGCTTTTAAATGAGTGAGTAATTTCTGTGCTTTTGGAATTGATGGATCTCTGCAGTTTACTAATAAGGGAGTGATTCCTGTGTTCATGTAGGAGAACCATCTATACATTTAAATAAGTGATTGATCCTTGTATTCAGATAAAAGAGTGCGGTTTCTGCATTTGAATAACAAAAAAAGAAGTATGTGAAGTGAGTGATCTCTGCGTTTTAATAATAAGTGATTGAATTTAAATAAGTGAGCAATCTCCGCATTTAAGAAGGTCAGTCAGTCAGCCAGCCAGCCAGCAGTTTCAGTATATAAATCTGCAGTTTTGCACGCATTTAAGAGTTTCAATATGTAAATCTGCAGTTTTGCACGCATTTAAGTAAGTGTGTTATATGTAAGAAAGTAAGTAAAATAGATTTTTCTATGTTATTTAAATTCTTTATTTATGTAATAAATAAATTGTTTTATTTAAATAAAGTGTGCGGTCTGTGTTTTCCAGGTGGGAAGCCTCTTGAGGAAGTCTGGACAGCGTGCAAGAGGACGGCTGCATTGGACAAAGGACAACGAGAGGTAAGGGAGTGAATTTGGACAGGAACGGCACCGAGACAGCGACCCGTCCCCATTGTGCGGACAGCTCTTGGACACGTGGATTTGGAGGCAGCCATTGAACCACGAATACAGTGCCTGTTTTAGACCATGTTGGGCAGCACTCTGGACATGTGTTCATCAGGTGAACGAAAGCTGGGCAGCGAGTACATTTTAATGGGCACAGAAGAATGAGCGTCTGTATTCAGTGGACAGCAAGTGAGTCTTTCAGCTCTGCACCCGAGATCATTGGCTTTCTGTGGGTGCATTTGTCTATGGACTGTGTGCTTTTTGGTGATTGAGGGTGTCTTAGTTTTTGCAGGTATCAGATCTGGACTGGAGGACAACTCAGACAGGTGGTGGATGACTGCCTGCCAGGCAGCCTTCCCGACTTCCCAGAGACTAAGTGCTGCATGGGCAGGTGAATTGGGTTGGGGCTTCAATTACAGGTCAGCTCTTCAGCAGTGTCAAGCTACAGCTGAGGATCTCTCAAGGGGGAGGTTCTGCAGCCCCTGGGCCAATGGGCCCCCGGGCCGGCCCCCCGGCTTTCCCATAAAGCCAGGGGCCGGCAAGCGACCACAGGAGCGTAGCGACCACA